TTTGGCGTTTAAATTTCTCTTGCTAATTGAAGGCCTATAACGATAGAGGCATTTTTTTTTTTTTTTTTGCAAATCTTTTTCTTCAAAAACTGATTATATTGCAGACGTGCAACAAATGTGATCATTTTTACGTCAGTAAACAAAACAAAACAGAAGGAAAAAAGTTAATTTTTTTTTGTGCTTCCATCAACAAAAAAATGCGTACTTTAAAAGTTATTTTAACATTGGTTTTCTTCATTTTTATTTTTGTTTTTTTTTTTTTCTTCTGCTTACTTCTGTATGGCTGACTGTCGCCGTAAATGATGGTGATGTTGATGACGATGGAGGCAACGTGGGCAACAACGATGACAACAACAAAGACTTCAGAGAATGACTTTAGAAGAAGGGGAAAAAGATGAGAAGAAAAAGGATGAAGAGGACCGTTGGTTATAAACCTTGCTGCAGTAGGAGGAAAATATTAAAAAAAGTTAAGAAGCACTAGAAAAAAGCAAAAATGAAATTTTTTAAAATACTTTTTAGTTAGCGGTGAAATCAGGATTCAAAACTTAAGGCTTTAAATATTCAGCAGTTCAGATTTACCAGCTTTCCTTCTATGTACTTGACCTGACACTCTAATTACTACTGTTATCAATTTTCCCTACTATTGTTCCTTTCTTACACCATTTCTATCACGATCATCTTCGATGCTATTGTTATTGGTCAAATATACATTTGGCACTATTTGAAGCAAGGTAGTATAAGTTGGGATGTGTTCTTGTTGTTTTAAAATCTAAATATTTGTATCACTGTGTCTGCTGTCTACACTTGGTTAATCTTTTTTTTTTTTTAGATTATAGTTTATATATTTAGAAATGCAGAATAATACAGAGCAAAGAATTTATTGCTGAATCTTATTAAGGTTCCGAGAAAAACAGGCTGAATTAGAGCGGAAAGCAGAAATAAAGGCAATAGAAAAACAAGTGAAGGAAATGCAAGTAAATAATGAAAGGGAATACAGAAAAGCCTTAGCCAACGATGCATTCAATTTATGGCTTGATATTAAGGTAATATTTCAACAGCAACAGTAAACAGCAACAAATAACATTTTTTTGATGACTCTAAATAAGATCAGCTTTTTTCCCCGTTTCTTCCATTCCATCACATTCCCCTCCTCTCTTCCCCTCATTACATACTTCCTCAGCTTTTTTCCACCCTCTACCAGTTCTTTATGCGTGCTTTCTCCACCTTTTCACATTCGGGCATCAATATCACTGCAGTTTCACATTTTTTGGCTTGTCCTTTCCTTCCCCATAAAATTTTTTTCTTTTGTTTACTAATTTTTTTATATCATTTTTCTTTCCTGTCCCCTCCGCCTCCTCTTTTACCTTCTCCACCTTTCCTCCTCTTTTCATCCTTCCTCCTCAGTCTTCTTATACTCACCTTGTCTCAACAGCCATAAAATTTTGCTGCTAACAAAAATGAAGAAAACCTCATCAGTCAGCGAAGATGTAAAGCAAATAGATCACTTGTCGAAAAGTAAAAGCTAAAAATTGTACAGTTGCAAAAAACTTTTTTTTTCATGCTTTTAGTCTTTGTGAATGAGAAGAACGTGGAAGAAATTCTTATTTTTATAAGAAAAAGAAATTTTTTTATTGTCGCTGTTACTGTTGTTGTAGAATTGTTTTGTGGGGCTTTTTTACCCAGTTTTTTCCTGCTTGTCTGTGAACGAAATCGAAACAGACTTTTTTTTTGCCTTTCTGCGCTTGCTTTTGCATCGGTTTTTTATTCAGTTTTTCTTTTTCGGCTAGCTGTTTATCAAAAAAAAAGAAAGTTTTTTCCTTATTTTCTTAAACTTCTGAAGCACGTATACGAAAGCAAAGAAAAAAGGCAAAAAAAAAACGCAGTCATACTTGATTGTTCTTCCTTGCTGATTGATATTTTGAGGCATTCAGAATCGACAGCGAGCCTATGAGACTTCCATACCCGGTCAAATGGTCCGTTATGGCTTAGAAATGAAACGATCTCAAGTACCGTGGCGACCGCCAACTCGCGACTTCGTACCGCGGATTCCTTCTCATCAGCGACGATCGCGAAGGCGTGCAAGAACTGCCGATCGAGTAGTTCGTCCAAAATCTGTGTTCTGAATGTTGCTGCTTGACAATGTTCAGCCGAATTAATTGCAAGGTTGGCTGGCCAGCTGACTAACTAACTGATCAGTGCATTGAACGACTGATATGGCGACCGAAAAAAACTATCGTCCAACGTTGGATGACGTTGGTTTCCTTCCATTTGCTCCTTTTCTTTAGCGTCTTCTCCCTCTTTTTCTTAGACTGTGAACACCTTTGCTTATTGATCTTCTTATTCATTTCTTCTTACTACTTATTTTGCTTCAACAAACTGAAAGTGAATGAGCTGGAAAAGAAAAGAAAAACGTATATAAATTTTTTTTCTTGTATTTCTTTTTGCTTTTTTTTTGGCCGCAATATCAAGAAAAATACAAAAAGCCATACGCAGACGAAAATAAAAAAAGTATTTTTTTTTCCAAATTACTTTAGCAAAATGCTAGTTTTTCATTCTCCACCTTCTTATTTCTACTTTGCCTTCTTTTTCCTGTCTGCTGTCCCCTTCACCTTTGTTGTTTTCTGTGCAGTCTTCGTTATCGGTATTCTATCCTTCATTCTGATCGTCTTTACCGTCGTTTTCTTCTTCTTCTTCTCATTTTTCGTCGTCTTACATTCGTTGTTTTTTTTTATACAATTTAAAATTTTTGCCAAATGTTCACAGTGACAATTTGATATAATTTAAAAAAAAAAAAAGCAAAGCAAAAATAATTGTTATTAAAAAAAAGCAGTAGCAGCAGCAAAACAAAAAATTATTAACAATAATTTTTTGTTATGATTGATTTGGCTGACTCATCGATGTTATGTTTTATTTATCAAAATATATCTATCCAACTTTTAACAACAATATTTCATTGAATTTTCGCTGTTCTTATTGGCTTTTAGTTGTAGTTGTTTTTTCCTCCTCCATCTTTTTTACCACTTATTACTTGTCATTATTATGCTTGTGCTATGAAAATAGTATTCTAATATGGTCCGTGCCATTCATATTATTATTATTATTACTATCATTATCATTACTATTATTATTGTCACTATTATCATTCTTATTGCCAATATTATTATCATTGTTGTTATTACTATTACTATTACTGTGACTATTACCATTAATACCATTATTATTGCTATTATTATTATTATTATTATTATTATTATTTATTACTATTACTATTATTATTATTATTATTATTATTATTATTATTATCATTATTAATATTATCATTATTATTTCCATTATTTTCATTATTTTTATTATTTTTTTTACCAATTTTATTATTATTTTTATTATTATTGCATCCATTAAAAATTCCTTGATAATGTTTTGTTCACTGAAACAGTGAGGTTGAAAAAAAAAAAGAAATTTCCATTATACCGTTGCTGCTTTTTCATCTTTTTTTTTTTTTTTTTTTTTTTTTTTTTTT